TWMTMTTGTCGTTATCGTTTTAATATTGTTTTTTCTTTTTTCTTGAGTGAGTTAGCCATCCCTCATTTACAAACTTTTACTTAATAATATTATCTTTATCCCGCCAATGTTTCTATCTGTCAAACCTTCCATTTATCTTATTCTCTTTTATTCATCCATTCATCCATTCATCCATTCATAGACCTAATCTTCTAACGCGTTGTTATGCACGTTACCACCCAATTCAAATCCTATGGGAAAACGAACTTTAGTTGTTAAGAATTCAACGGTGAAATGAAAATGCAACTTACTCCCGGGTGGTTGGTTTGAATTGGGTGGAATCGTTTATAGCATCGCGTTAGCTGATTAAGTCTATCTCATTCCTTCAAATATTTATCAATTTATTTGCTATATAAACAGGCTTCATTACTAGAAGAAAAGCAGCTTCTTATCCAAAACCTGAGCTTGCTTGACATTCACCGACATTCTGAACGACCCCAGACGAGCGAGCAACAATTAGTGGTGGAACTGAAGACACAAAGACAGGACGTCTTGAGTAGAATTCAAAAACTATCAGATCAATATTCTTTACAAGAGACCAAGAAAGCTGAACTTATTGAAGAACTAAAGCAAGTCAAAGAAGAACGAAATAGGTAATGCAATGAAAAATTACAAACAGAGTTGTCAGRAAGTAGCATCCTTCCCAGGCAACTCGCTTTCCCTCGACCGTTATGGAATTGGAATAGAGACGATCTCTCTCCCATTCCCCGCCGTCTGTAAAACAGGACAGTAAACCCAAACGCGCACTAGTTACTTTAGTTCTAGTAATGCATGCGAAGGGGGTTAGTCAGGAAGTAAGAGGCTGTTGCTCTTGCTTTTCTTTTTCTTCCATTTCTTCCTTTCCCTTCCTATCGACATCTTATTATCTTGATTTTTTTCCTTCTGTTTTTCTTTTCTTTTCTATCTCCTTTCGGCTCTTTGTTAAAAGTCGAACCTCTATAAAACGGCCACCTTTAGGGAAACATCAGGTGGCCGCTTTTTAGAGGTGACAATTTATTACAAGTCTAGGTTACAGTAAATGTGTAGKAGATGCGAATTTCGAAAAAAAATGTCAATGACCGCTTTATGGAGGGTGTTCGATTAGAAAAGGGCCGCTTAAGGGGTTCCACTGTATCTTTGTCTTCTTWCTTGTTTCTAGAATTGTTGAGTTTGAATCGCGGAAAAAGGAAATACCTGATTCTCCYCAAGAATCAGTGGAACATCAACAAACAGAAGAGACAAAAACCACCCACACTGAACAAGTCCAGTCAAAGACCTCTTCATCACGCTACCAGATTGCAGACTTGCTGCCACATCTTCGTTTCTTACTCCCCTTGTGCCGACAAAGATGGCGGCTTGTGCAAGAAATGCTCCACGCTTCAGAATGCTCGGCACCTGATCACCTGCCGATAGTGACAGTGGACAGACGGACACCTCTGRGTGAGCGCGGTGGGCGCACTGAATGTAGTGTGCTTTTACAGGTCTTTAAAGAACTTAGGCCAGAAGGGCTTAACTACAGGTATTATGCATTTACTGTTCAAAAAAAATCTCTGACATCTTTTTTTTCCTTCCCTTATACGCATCTCAGTTTGTGTCATTGTTTGATTTCGATTTCTTTGTTACCGGAACCGCAACGCATATCTAGAAGTAGCTCAATTTTATGAATCAAAACCGATGAATCCAGGTTTTCTTAAAAGACATCGTAAACTAGGCTTAGTGACTTAAAATTAAAAATCCTGAACCTCTCATTAAAGAATACAGGTAAAATCGTGAAAAAGCTATAATTAGGTGATTATAAAGGACGCACGTAAACTTCATAAAGTGGGAATACGTTTGTGCTTCCCCTTGGGCCTTTGAACAAAAAAAACCTTTTGACATTGCCATCATTGATTACTGAAAGTGATTCACATCAGTCAACTAAGACGCCGGCATCGAAACCCACAAGGAAGAGCGGCCATGATTAATGCATGGCGTAGGTGTTACTAGTCTTAATAAGCTGACTTCTATATGTTTTCATTGTTTTGATGATTTGTATTTCAGATGGAACAAATGGAAATATGACCAGTGGTGGGAGGTGAAGTTTGTGGGCGAGGGAATCATTGATCAGGTCARTGCCGTCATAAAAGTGATCAAAAAGGAACATTTTTATTTAATTCAATTTACAGTCAACTCTCTCGTAAGCGACCACCTCGGGATCAGGAAAAAGTGGTCGTTTACGAGAAAGCTTTACAGAGTTTAAATGGGAATTAACAAAATGGGAAATTTAAAAGGTGGTCGCTTACGGGAGATGGTCGCTTACGAGAGTGGTCGTTCAAAGAGAGTTAAAACTGTATTTTATTCACAATATTTGCTCTCTTTGAACGACCACTCTCGTAAGCGACCATCTCCCGTAAGCGACCACCTTTTAAATTCCCCATTTTGTTAATTCCCATATAAACTCTGTAAAACTTTCTTGTAAGCGACCATCTCGCGTAAGCGACCACTTTTTCCTGATCCCGAGGTGGTCGCTTACGAGAGAGTTGACTGTATAACTTTACAAATAAAGAGTAAGAATCCTATGGGCGTATTGCAGCCGTCCTTTGCAATAAGTTAGTCATTGCGGCAATGAAACCATATGGGTCAAGAGAGAGAAGAAAGGAACAAAATAAGGAAAAGACAGTGAAAGAGAAAAGAAAGATTAAATAATAGAGGAATAAACTTCCTTACATTAATAGATTAGTTATATGATATGAACGCATCATAACGTTATGGAAACGTCGAATACAACAGTGTGTTATTATGAGAAAAAACTGAATAAATGAGCAAATTAAAAAAATGATAGGAAAGGATAAATTTAAAAACAGAGATGTTCCTGAGTACACATGTATTACATATGTTACTCCACATTGCTTAGTTTGAGGGCTTTGATTAATGTGCTTTTTCACTAGCCCCCTGCAAAAGCTTTTAATCGGAAAACGTAATTGGGTTCCCATTTAACATGATGGATTGACTTCCTGCATAGAATGATTACATTTCCTAGAGTAATGACCTTGATTGAGAGAAATTCTCATGTCCGCGTCTTAATAATAATGTGGCGTGTTTTATAGGAAAATATATGGACTCCTGTACTTGACAGGAAATATAACAGGGAAAGACAATAACAATAACGTTAGGCAATGATAGTATTAAAAATAACAATAATAACAACAAAGTTCTGTAATACAACTACAATAACATAAGCAAAAACAACACCAAAAAAACCTTTGAAATAGAATAACGAGAACATAAAAAGCAAAGTAAGAAAAGTATTAAAAGTAACATGGCAACAATATATCACATTGTAGCAATGTTGGCATAAATAATRCAAAGAAATAGTAACTTCACATCAAAATCGTCCTTGTAATTATTGTAGTTATTTATCAATTATCTATGTATATATAGGATAGTACATGGTCGCGAGATACTGGTTTTATCTTCGAGCGTTGAAATGATCTCTCACGAGTGAGCGTTTTAATACGAGAAAATGAAATTCGTATCTCCAWGCGACAATGTAATCTYATACTTTTTTCAATGTTGTTTTGTTTGTATAGGGAGGAGGTTTTCGAGATTCTCTGGTTGAGATCGCCGATGAGATCTGCCCTCCAGAGAAAAACTGTGGTGAAGTTTTGCCATTCTTCATTAAAACCCCGAACAATAAGGTAAAACGAGTTTTCTGGTCGACCAAGTCAGTGTTGTTTGCGATAGTCCATAAGTCTGCTCTTCTCTAGTCTGACCATTCGTTTGCTTTCTCACTCAATCACCTGTTTATTTATTCATTTGTTATTTGTTCAATTATATTTTTCCCGTTCATTTATTTCCGATTCTTTCATTCATTGAATCATCCTTCCATTCATTTGCTAATTTATTGTTTCATTTATTTATATTCGTTCGTTCGCTCATCTTTTCGCCCATGTGTCTATTATTCTTTCGGTGTATTTGTTGTTATTGTTAAAGCGTCCCTCTTTAAGGCTTTCACCCTAGTATTCATCTTTTACTTGCGTCCTAGGATGGCGTTGGAGATTACCAAGACGTGTACATCCCTACCCCTCTGAGTAAGCAATGGTATATTTTTGAGTGGATTGGAAAACTGTTCGGTGCTGCATATCGTACTGATGAAAACCTTACGGTGTCTTGTCCACCGTTCTTCTGGAAGCTTCTAGTASGTGAACACGTGACATGGGCCCGGGACTACGCGGATATTGACGAATCGGTTGTTAGGTTTACAGGTAAGATTGATGAAGATGTAATATTTTAATATAAAAGTGAGCATGTAGTGAAATTACATTTCTGTTATTGGGTCACCATTTATTAATCACGTCGGCCTATCGAGTTATGAATGCACGCTAAAGCAAGAAAAAAGCGCTCTGATGGCAGATTGGTGTCCACACTAAAAAGGCTTATTTTTGTATTATYGTGTTGTAGATGCACTAGAGGCGTCTGATGAAGATTTATACGATGCTGCCTACGGCGTGGACTGTAACTTCACGACAGTTTTGAGTGATGGGTCAAGAGTTGATCTTATTCCCGGAGGTAGAGACATTCCTGTCAAAAGTGATGAGCGACGGAAGTTTGCAACACTGCTGAGACAAGCAAGAATGACTGAATCTGTAAAACAGGTGAATATTAGTACATTAGTACTATCGATAAATAAATCCACCAATAAATARATTAGTCCATCAATAAAATCAATCTATCATCAATCAATCAATCAATCAATTTGGTACGAATTCATAAATTGTGATTTCATCGCAACTGCTTCGTTAGAATCAGTGATTTTGAATAGCGCAATGTGATAATTTGACGAGCTGTATTTATTTTCATTGCATCGAARTACTTTTTGTTTTACTGTATAGAATGTGTAGGAACTTGCGAAAGCTGTGGATTATATCATAAATCATAAAATCAATCAAACAATCATTCAATCATTCAATTGACTTATCAATCATTCTAATAATCAATTTGTCAATCAATCAATCAATCAGCCAGGCGAGCAAGTAAACAAACAATCGATAAGTCGTCCTTCAATGAAAAATATATGAAAATTGWAGTAATGATAATTTCATTGTATCAATGATTCTATAATCTTGTTCAACAGGTTCTAGCCATAAGAAAAGGCTTGATTTCTGTTGTACCTGAATCCGTCCTCAGACTTTTAACTTGGGCCGAACTTGAACGAGGAGTCTGTGGAAACCCTRACGTGTCGGTGGCTGTTCTAAAGAGCGCATGTAAGTATCGCGAAAATTCGCGCCATCAGAATCGTGATCCACAATTCAGGAATTATCAATGGTTACGGTCATGAATGAATGATTAT